GGTTGATTCATGCCACCTAAAACGTGACACATAATTCAAAAAAACAGTCATTTGGTCTTGATCCCACCCTGGAATACCACAGTTACAAAGGGAGTCCACAGCATCTCCGGATTGGCTAAGACCTGAATCTTAAGCAAGGAAGTGCTAGAATTAAGATTGAAAAGCAAAGAATTATGAGGCATGGGTTTGGCATATATTCAAGTCATCCAGTCTTAAGAAAACTAATCCCTGATTCTTTTCATTGATAGTCTGGTGAAATTGACATTGTGAATCACAAGACAGGAGACAAGTGCAATCTTAAATTTGTTCCTTATAGCTACTTCTCTCGGGATGTAGCAAGAAAGGTAAGAGAAGTTGGATTTTAAATTGTTTTCATTCAGTGTGTATCCCTTAGAAAGGCTACTTCTTTGGGGCTGGTGTAGATAGAGAGAGAGATCTATATCTCCTAAACATGGCGATTCAAAATAGGAAAGGTAAAAGAGAAAGTGAACAATATGGCATTACGAAACCAAATTCTTTTCTTTTCTGGAAAAGACAACAAGTATGAAAGTAAAAGTCAGGAGCAATGAAAGATTAAAAATGGGAAACACACAGGAAGGACTAACAAAAGGATTATAGGAAGACGGCATGGGCAGTGTCACCCCTGTGAAGTTTGAGCAGCAGTTATGTGTTACCACCACAGTGGAATTGTGCCACGGATTTCGACAAAAGAGTGAAGAGTAGTTGGGGTTTAAATTTGTTCGTGGCTCTCTCTGATTTCTAGAGAGAAGAAAATACCTTAATTCTGAGTACCAGTCAATTCCTTTTCCTACATGTTATCGTTGCAACAAAAATCCCTATACAACAAAATGGTGATGAAACCCCCAACTCACGGTTCAGTTATTTTAAGCAGCTCAGGAAAATATAACAAAATAATTTGGATGACTCCATGGTGTTTGTCATAGGAGGATTTAACCAATATTTACCCTAGGACTTTGGTTTCCAAAACAGTGAGGTAAGCTAACCCCCAGTGCATGCTGAACTCCACAGCCCTGCTCTCCATCCTTGTAGGTGACAGGGGAAGTGACAGATCCATCAGGAAGAGTTCACTTTGCCCTTCTGGGGACGTGGGATGAGAAAATGGATTGTTTCAAAGTACATCCAGTCATTGGGGAGAATGGGGGTGATGCTCGACAGAGAGGCCATGAAGCAGAGGAAAGCAGGGTCATGCTGTGGAAAAGGAATCCTTTACCGTGAGTATCAGTGTGCATGCTGCCCAGATACTGCTGTGACCTCAGCCTCTGCAGGATTGCCAGCATTGCTGCCTGCCTTCCTGCTTAGTTAAGTGAGAGATTGAGCAAGGGGAATGAGAATCTTTGGAGAGATTACCGGCAGGTTGTCACTGTATGAGTGGAGTTGTAGCATGCCCTGTCCCAAGAAAGTTCAAACTAATCAAAACACATCTGCCAAAAAATATTTGATGCTTTCTAAATGTCCTTTGGATCATGATTAAGACAGATATTTTTCTATAATTTAGAGCAAAACTATTCAGAAGCAGCTAGAGGAGAAAAATGCCTACCACCTGTTAATATTTAGCCTAAAAGTCCAGGGGCAATATAAAGGTCCCTGAGATAACATACAGGACTTTGGAAATAAAGACAGAGGCCATTTGTCTCCTATCTTCATCTCATATGTTCAGTTTGTAATAATAGTCAAGATTATCCTGGGAAGAGGTTAAAAAGAAAGCAAAAGAAACAGGAATAAGGCCTTTTCATTTAGTAGAAAGTTTGATTCTTCCTAATTCCAGCTGAACGCAACACAAGCCCAGAAAACTATGGAATTGAGAGATGCTGGGGAGGGGCCGGGGAATGGTCAAGTTTTGGTCTCGTAATTAGGGGAAGCTGACAAGGTCCTAAGTCTTTGCCTTCGTACAGCCTTGGTGAAGTAGTCTTTTGGCAGTGTACTTAGCTGTTGCTCTTTAACTAACTAGGGTCTGGCCTCTGGAATTACCCTCTCTTTTTCTCATCCTTTACTTTTAGGAAGAATGCAGAAAACATGTACTACTTTTCAGAGCTTGCTCTAACTCTCAATGCCTGGGAAGCTGGCACTGCCCCTACAGACAGCCGATTACGGCCCGACCAGAGACTGATGGAAAACGGGCGCTGGGATGAAGCAAATGCTGAGAAGCAGCGCCTGGAGGAAAAACAAAGACTTTCCAGAAAGAAGAGAGAAGCAGAAGCTATGAAAGCCACAGAGGATGGTAACGAACCGGTCACCCCTATTTCTTAATGTGTGGAGAATGCCAGTGTATTTTTGCCTCTAATTCCATTTTTCTTTCCCTTCTTTCCCTTTTAGGCACACCCTATGATCCCTACAAGGCACTGTGGTTTGAGCGGAAGAAGGACCCTGTTACCAAGGAGTTAACCCATATTTATCGGGGAGGATATTGGGAGTGTAAAGAAAAACAGGACTGGAGCACATGCCCGGACATTTTCTGAAGCAACAGTAACAAAAAAGAGGAGGATCCACAGGAGAAGAGGACAGAGGATGTGTGGAAAGCTGGCAGTTGTGGCTCTCTCACCGAGTGCTTTCCTCAGATTTGTCTGTCTTAACCAATCATTTTTCCCCAATCAATCACCAGAAGCAGACACCAGTGGTGGTGATTGGCTGGTTGCCTTAGCTGATTGAAACTGAAGTCGACATACTAGATACCTGTGTCTGTAAGGGAGAAGTTTAGTGGCTGAACGTTAGTGTTATTCCACTTTCGCAAAGTCCAGTATTCTTGACTCTTCCTTCTCCCTCTGCCCCCATTTAAGATGGTGTCATTCACCCTCCCCTTGTAGTATCCTGCTCAGCCAAGATCTACATTGAGATTATGATTCAGGGGCATTTTGGTGCTGTTCAGAGCAAGAGCTGATTTTAGAAATTCCTTTAAAAAGAAACATATAAGACTTACCAACGGAGGCATCGTGAATGATTGTGGTGACATGGCATGGCATTATGAAATGTGTTCACCAATGGGGTCAGTTTACAGGGCGTCCATGCGTAGATAATTGTGGTATTGGGACACTTGCGAGAGGAATTGTTCTGTAAGGTTGGAATTTTCAGCATTACATTCTTGGAAGGTTCTGTCTTCACTTGCATAACACACCCTTCTGCTCTTCTCCATCCTCTTTGATAGCAAGTGGAGGCCACTTCTGTCGTTGGTAGGAGGGTTGAATTAATCCTCACAAAGGGGTTTTACGGACTTCCTCAGGTGGAGAACTTCTGAGAACACGAGGCAGGATGGAAAAAGAGTGCTAGCCACTTTCGCTTTCCCAGTTCCTCCTCCCCGCATCCTTCATTCCCTTTCTAGCTTCTCTTCTCTCTCGGCACAATACCAGTTTGCGTCTGTGCCCCAGTATGGAGCAAAACATTACCTATCCCATTCTGATTCAGAATTTGAGAGAAGAAGTTAGTCTGGAATAAAAGTTTTCACCATCTCTCAAGCCCCATGGACTGGAGCCACCTCTGGAATAATGTGTTACATATCTGTATATTATATATATGTAGAGAAAAATCTAATTTTTTTGTTTAATTTTCCTTCTTCCCATTAAGAATCTTGTTTTTTGATATCACTTGTCTCCCTGGAACTCTCTTGGACACATTGATGTGGATTGGAGCCTGCTCTGCTTTCCATCTGTGAGGGGCAGACAGACTCAAAACCTGAGCAGGATCGTGTCTGGCACTCACCGAACAGGGCCTGTATCCATGGTTTGTATCATGGGGTGCCCACTGCCGTCTCAACTCTGCTCTCCTAATTACCTGACTCTTGAAATGGAATCTTAACCTCTTTCCTGCCTTTTTTCCTTCTTTTGTTAGGAAGAATATGGGTAGAAAGTCAGGAGGGTAATTTCCAGTTTAATTCTGCCTCTGTCCCGGTCACAGCACACACAGCCGATTCCCAAAAGAACCTTCTTCCCAGGAGATGGGGCTCCAAGCACCATCATGTGGGCAGGGAAAGAGGATGGCTTTGGCGGGGCCCTGGCTTCCTTCCTTCTGTGTTCTGTACTCGTTTTAGCTGTCTTGTTCAGAACTCTGACCCCCTGTGCAACCCACCCTTGGTTGAGGATCACAAATTGAGGTGCCTTCCTTGTATGCTTTCTGTTAGCGTTTTCTGTTTCTGTTCCTTAACTGCTGAGCCTCAGCCAGTGTGGGTCGTGAGGGGAAATAGCATTCCAGAGGAAGCCAGCCCTCCGGGACAGCTGGGTTATCCTGGGTAAATTAGTACTCTCATTCCTTCCCCGCCATCCCTCCCTTCCTGGCTGGGATGAACTTGAGAGAGAGGGAACTGCTGGGGAACTTCCTCCTAAGGACCCGATTCCCTACATAAGCAAGGGTGACATAAGCAAGGCTTACGCTGGGGCGGCTTTCAAGGAGGTCGGTAAAAGCACTGACCTAGTCAGGGGCTCCAGACAGAGTGGGGATTCCCAAACTAAGCTGAACTGCCTTGCTTTATCCCCCTTTTCTTCCTCTACCATCTGCACTACATTTCTGGCCTGATCCCTAGTCAGATTCCTGCAAATGGAAGAAGCTTTGAGTCCTTCAGGTGAAATAAAGTCACATGAAAACAAAACAAAACTATATATATTTTCGGTTTTTTTGCCTTATTGTTTTTTTTCCAAGAAAACTACTAAATTAAATAATTTTTAAAAAGTCATATTGTTTGTCTGATTCACTTCTACTCCTACCAGGTGAGGAGAGGGTGGATAACTGGTCCAAGGGTGATTTGCGCTTCTTAGGAGTCTGGGAGCCCGATTTTCACGAGAAATTAAAAGACAAACAGCATGGATTTCCAGATGTTTGAACTGTTCAACATTCTGGAGGGCCCATGAGCAGAAGAGTGATTTTAATAGCCCCTGCCACTTCAACGTCATGTAATCATCAATGTCCCACTTTGGTATAGGGGAATAGTTTCTAGTGTTTTTGATACTGGGTCTGTTTCAACTCAAAAAGTAAAAGTATTCTTGATTTAATTTCTCGTGTCCATTTAGATTCTCAGATTCTTAGCTGCTTCATGTAGGTATTCAAATTCTGTATTCTGAAACGTGAACAATTGAGCATTGATTTGAAGCCCTTGGAGAGAAGTAATGACAGTGAAAATGCTTGTTGAGGTTTTCTCTGTGAAGTTCAGGGATGGGAAGATGGGAAAAGTAATGTAAGGGGCCTGGAGAGGCTTCAGATCAGAGCAAGCACAATTCCTGCCCTGTGGGAGGGCCCGCACACTAACTGAGCATCTGCTCCAGGGTCGAGGGAGCCGAGGTAGGAACCCTGAACATTGTCTGGCTTACACTTAATTTTAAGAGGAAAATGTTGCAGTCGCCCTTTTAAAGATGAACAAAGGCTCTCAGAAATAATTTAAGTAAATTCACTTGAAGTCACATAGCTGATTGGTTAGTCACACTGTTGGAATTCAAAGCTGGGTTTGTTTAACCCGGAGTTTGTGACCTACAACCTTGTACTCTGGGACAAACTGGTTTGGAAGGCAGCCGATAATTAGATCATTTCCACCTGGATTTTATCGCATGCTTAGATACACATGTCTGTTTCCACAGGCTTATTAATGTGGAGAGTACTATTTTGGGGGTTCACCTGAAGGAAGGAGCATCCTTGAAGTTCAGCCTCCAGGCTCTTTGGTTTCTCAAGGCTTTCATGTCCACAAAATTAGCTATGTTGTCGGGATTCTTTTTCTAGCGTGGTTCTTGGGAAGGCCACTGAGGTGTTCAAGTCATTTGCCTCATTCCCAGTGCTGGACTTCATGTTACGTTTCAGCAAAGATTTTTTTCTGTCAAGCTAAAAGCCATTGCAGTCGACCCTTGACATCTGTGATCACTGCATCCTACAATCTTGGGTACCACTGTGATATATAAGTTCCTCCATTAGAGACAGTCAAATGTCCCTGAAACATTTTAATTCCTCCTTTAGTCCTTTAATGGGCTACTGTGACATGATAGCTTGGGATGTGGATCCTGAGGGGTCCACCACACTCACTCATGATTCAAAATTATGAGTCAGCGAAATGATAAATTATCACACTTGTCAGCGACCTCTGAAGTCCTGCAAAAATGTTAAACCTGTGCATTTCAAGGATGTCTGCTTTCAGCAAGATAAGTGAAAACCAACCTGCAGTACAGTCCTAAAGGAGGCATAGAAAAACCTTTGGAATTTATTCACTATAAGGCTATACATACCTTCTGAAACTCTTAAGACTGTTATCAAAATGTGATAAAGCTTTTGCCCAGTACTCTGACCTGCCCTGTGGGAAGCTTTCCTGTCTTTTCATGGTCTTCCCTTCCAAGGCTCATAAAATAATCTGTGGTTATACTCTTCGCAGGCTTTCCTTTCTACTATCTATTCAGGTAAAGTGCTCCTCTTTCAGTTCACATTGATCCCTCCAGGGAAGGAGGCGGGATGGTCAGATGAGGCATAATTTAAAGGCAAGAACGAAAGAGCTCAGAATCTTCTATAAATAGCCTTGCAGAGGTCACATCTTCTGAATTTGACCAGGTGATTTTAGAAGTTAGTAAAGAACCAGTTGGCCCTGAGACATGGCTAGGCGCATCTTCCTTTATTCATTCAACATTTACTGCAGCCTGTTATGTAACATACATTAGGGATACAGATGGCAAGAAAGAGCTCAAACAGGCAGTACATTACGATCTGGTTTGATAAATGGTGTGAAAGCACTGTACAGGGGCAGGGAGCCTGTAGGAATGGGGAGGGAGGGGATAGAGACATGTCAGATAAGGCTTCTGGAACTAGGAGAATGTGTCTGAGCTGAGAATTGCAGGTTAAACAGGGGTTAGAGTGAGGGCAATGTGAAAAATGGTGCATGGGCAAAGGTGAAGAGCAAAGTCAAGGAAAGCATCCTGAGTTTGGATGGCTGCATGAATGGCTAGAGTTCAGGGTCAAGGAGAGAGCAATGACATGGTGCTGGAGAGAGGTAAGACCTCCAAGTGACAGAAGTCTTCACATACCATATAAGGAAGCTTGGTTTTTGTTTTCAACTAGGAAGCCGGTGACGGATTTTTAAGCAGGATGATGGGTTCCAGTGTGGAAAATGATTTATAGGTAAGAAGGCCAATGAAGAGATTGGAGAAGATGCGAGAGTGAAGGGAAGTGAACACCGAAGTGGAAAAACAGCTCTTGGGTATGGTTATGGGTTGGGAGTAGAGGGAGGGAGGAAGGAATGTGTATTTTTCTGGCTTGGGGAACTCAGTGGAAGGTGGTGGTAAGATAAACAAGTCTAGAGGGAAAGATAGGTTCATTCTTGGACGTTCTGAGTTGGAGCTGCCAGTGAAGAGGTTGAGTAAGCAAATTAGAAAATGGGTCTATATGTGATAGCTACATTTTTGTGAGAACTGAGGACTGGGATGCTGAGAGAGGCTGCACATTAAAATTGCCTGGTCAACTTAAAAAAGTATGTAATCCTAAGCCCTACTTGCAGCGATGCTGATTCAGTTACAACCACGGCTAGTGCAATGATAGATACGTGAATGCAAGGGATGCAAAATCATGAAGCAGGAGGGGGAGGTGGAATAAAATGAGCGTAGTAGAGGATATTAATAAACCACAACTTGCTTCCCAGAGTTTGAGAGAAGTCTGAGCCAATTCTACTTTTTGACAATGTCCAAAAACATTTAAAATTTTAATTGCATACATTCTTGCATACATTTCTTTGAGTCCAATTTGACGATATCAGAAAAAATTCAAAATGTTCATATCTTTTGACCTTGCAAAATCTGCCTTCTCACAAGAAAAACAAATACAAAAGGATAGTCATTGCAGTATTGTTTTCAATAATGAAAACTAGAAAAAAAATTTAAACATCCATCATTAGGAATTTGATTAAATGGATTGTGTTATATCCATACAATCCAATACCTCACATGGATCAAGAAGAATGAAATAGGTCTATACACCTGACTTGAAAAAAGTCCTTGATTTATTTTTAAATGAAAAAAGCGAATTCCAGGGCAGTTAAAAAACAACTGAGAAAAGTGAAATTACTTACCACTTTAGCTTAAACAGAGGCCTTGCCTCTTCTCTTTTGCAGTGTTTATTAAATGCCTGCTTCCAGCTAAACCATACAATAACCTTTTTGTTACTACGGAGCAAATATTATTTCATTATGGTTATGCGGAAATCGCTTTCCAGAAACAGCCGAAATAGCTCAGTTGGGAGGCAGTTTTTTCCTTCCTTCCTCTGTTCTCTGGACTCAGAACTCACACTAGTGATATTCAGGCTTGTTGAGCTATATTGCTGATTAAATAAGCTTTATGGGCTAGCCTGGGAACCTAACCTCTTCTTAGAGTATTTTTTTTTTCATGTTTTCTTCTATTTCATTTTTTATTGAGGTTATGATAGTTTACAACCTTGTGAAATTTCAGTTGTACGTTATTATTTGTCAGTCATATTACAGGTGCACCACTTCACCCCTTGTGCCCATCCTCCCAACCACCCTTTCCCCTGGTAACCACTAATCTGTTCTTAGAGTAATTTTTTAAGTAGTAAAGTCATCTTGAATTCCAAACAGTCAGCTTAGAAGCTAACATTTTCTTTTTCAGAGGGAGGGTGGGGACAGGAGACAGTATCTCTTGTGTTCTCTTCTCTACACCCAGTGGGCAATATAGGGTCTGGGACACATGAGGGCTCCGTAAATGTTTGTGGAATGAATAACTGCATACACAAATGAATGGACAACTTCTCCCCGACAGAATGCACACATGCACACACACATACACACTTCATCCTGCAGTTGAGTACCGTCAGTTGGCTCTAAAACTAGAAAGGTAGAAACACTCACAGCCCCTTCTCAGCCCCATCACCAGCACTCCAGCTCCAGAAACACAACTGTCCAGCCTCAGGAAGACATCAACATCCTGGCCTGACGCAGAACTGTGAACTGATGCTTAGCACTCTTCTGGTCCAGGAGTGGAAGCTAACTTGTGTAATGTGTCTTTTTCACTAGTCCAGATGGGCCTGTACTTATCACTTACTACCCCTTCTTTCCTCCCTCAAGAATGTTAAATAGTTAGCTTCCTCTCTGGGTATACTTGTGCTAAAATACATTTCCTCTTTTATTCATTCATTCCATATCTATTCAATGACAGTCTCCTCTAGGCTGGGCACTGATGGTTCTTAGATATGCAGCGGTGAACAGAAGAGGCACGGTTCCCATCCCAAAGAGCTTACAGTTATTGAAATAAATGAAAATGGTGATTTCTGCTACTCACTTACGTGAACGGTTGACCAGAGAGAAGGAGTTGCTTTCACGTCAGATCTTAGAGCTGCTCTACTGAGCAAAAGGCCTCTTCTCTTCCAGTGATTTGCTTTATCATCTCGATATGGTTCTCCACCTGCAGAAAAATTAAACTGTCTCTTATAGATGTGTGGGCCAAGTTTTTAAATCTGTTCTTTTCCTGACAGGTGAACTTTAATGAGCCCTTATCCATGCTTCAGCGCCTTACTGAAGATCTGGAATACCATGAGCTGTTAGACCGAGCTGCAAAATGTGAGAACTCTCTAGAACAGCTCTGTTATGTTGCAGCTTTCACCGTGTCCTCCTATTCCACTACTGTCTTCCGTACCAGCAAGCCATTCAACCCACTCCTTGGGGAGACCTTTGAGCTGGACCGATTAGAGGAGAATGGGTACCGATCCCTCTGTGAGCAGGTAAGGGAGCTTCGGGACTGTGATGTGTTTCCTTTTGGAAGAAAGGGATGATTTCTTGGTTGATCCTCCTGGGTGTCACATTTGCAGAAATTCCAGTCCCTGTCATCCCAGACTGCCTTCTTTTCCTTCAGGGCTGCAACACTGGAGGCTGTACTGTTGTGGGTGTAAATATGTCCTGTGAATTTTGGGTGTTTATCACCAAGAAATAGGCAGTATCTTTCCCTTCTCCTTTCCTCCTTTTTAATTTGAACCACTGATTTCTTCAAGGTGAGTCATCATCCCCCTGCTGCCGCGCACCATGCTGAGTCCAAAAATGGCTGGACATTGCGTCAGGAAATCAAAATCACCAGCAAGTTTCGAGGCAAATACCTCTCCATTATGCCCCTCGGTAAGGCCACCATCTTTGTAAGAATTAGTGCTCCAGGAGTGAGAGATTTTCTGGCATGATAGAGGAGGTCACTGGTGTAGGAGTCAGGAGATTGGAGGTCTGATTTGGGCTCTGAACATTACTAGTTAGCTTTCTGGAGGTCGTTTAATTCTCAGCTATCGAATGAGTGAGGAGGCACAAGACTCTTTAAGGACCCACCCAGCCATAAATTCTTTGTGTTCTTAGCTATATTTAATGCGTCATTAAGTACTATTTTAGAATATAAATTCTAGCATGCATTTTTTAAACTTTATCTCTTAACTGGTGTTTCCCCTGTTATCCTAGCAATCAGGTTCTCTGTATAAATCAGAACTCTCGTGACTGTAAGATCAGGTTTCTCAGCTAGCCCCTCCCCCTTCTCCTCTCCTTCCCCCCCTCTCTTCCTCTACCCGATGGGTTAGGTATCATTTATGTAATGGCTGAACTCCAGGTAAGATGAAACTTTATTTTAAAAGATCTTACTGGATTACAAGTTAATTTTGCACCATGATCAAAAGATCACCCCTGGGAATAAAATCCTAATATGCAGTGTTGGAAGGTCTATACTTTAGGGAAAATGAGATTATTCAGAAAGTGGATTAGAGATTCTTGATGCTCTTTTGAACAAGAGCAGCCACATTTGACCATGTGTGTACTGAAGAGTGAATGCTGGTCTACAGCAAAAGAAACAAAGCAGAGAGAGAGAAACCAAGTACCTCCCTAGAGACAGGGCAGACGGGAGCTGCCTGAGCTCCTGATGACTTCCATTTCCTGCTTCTAGTCTTTCATGAGGCCTAGCTGCAGTGCTTGGTTATTGCAGTATAGTCTTCTTCTTTAATAAATTCTCCTTGCTCTCAGAAACACAAAATGTAGCAAGTATAGTACAAACTAAAAATTAGCCCCCCAAAAATCAAGAATGTTTGTAATGTATTAAGAGAAACTGGAGTGTTAACGCTATCACTTAAATGAAGAGAAGACTAGGTGATTTTGGTCTCGATCTTTACTGAGGACCTTTAAAAACGTCCTAATTGCTTAACTGTCTTTGAAGCAAATAATTTTAGAAATATTAGGTTGAGTAGTAGTTGCCTGGGATGTCCACACCTCATCTGCAGAACTGGGATGTCAGTGGTCATACTGCCCGACGACTTTCACCCATGGGGAAGAGTTTCAGGGGCCCCCTGGGGATCTCTAAAGGGATGGATTATATTTAATTCTAAGGAGAGTTGTATACATTTAAAAAATAGCGATAAACCTAACTCAACAATGATGTGCTGTACATTTTCTCTATACTTCGACTAGAATGATTGAATTCTGTATCTATGTAGAATTTTATATTTGTATCTATAATTCTTTGAGGGGTGAATAACTATTTGAACATGATATAAGTGGGGGATCTAATTTTTTGGAGTTAAAAAATATCTTTGATAGGATTCCATTCCTGTGATTGTTTAGGAGTCGGGTCACCAGGATGTGCTGTGTTAAGTGCCTCCGTATGTTAGATACTAAGTACCTGCCATGGACTAGGTGTGTTCTGGGTGCTTGGGAAGTGTAAGTGAAGAAAACAGATCCCAGCCTTCACCGGGAGATTGAACAAAGAGTTGACTTAGTGACAGGAAATGGAATATAGAAGTATAAAAATTGGGATTTCCAGACATTGGCCCTGGAGATGGCTGAATTTAATATTTTTGGATCAGTAACTTGGAAGAAGAATCATGCAGTGAAATTTTCACATTTGCAGTGGCACTCAGCTCTCAGAGGGTAACTTGTTAAGCCAATAGATGTTACTGAAAAAAGACACGTGGACAGGGTTGAGAACGAGTAGACAGATAGATGGTTTTTTGAGGTGGTGGCCGGGAGTCTCAGTCTCCCTGTAAAATACACTAAAAAGGTTAGAATTCTTGCAATCTGGAAAGAAGAATGCTTCTAGAAAATATAATTGGAGTTTGAAAAATGATGAAGACTATGCTAAAGGATGAATGTGAATTTACTCCTCGACTCCCAGAGTATTGGAACTAGGTGTTAGCCTTGAAGTTTAAAGAAAGACATTTAAATAAGAGTATTATTTCATAGTTTTGGAGTTCTCTAACTCAAGAAGAATCACAATTTTGGAATATGAATGAAACAACCATTCAGCCTATCGATCTCTTGTCCGTGACACTACTGGGCCCTGTGGACCTTGAATTTGCACTTTTGACTAAACTTTCTGCTTATATATTTTATCCATTCTTCCAGTTTCTATTTTTTGACTAGGATGATTAATCCAGGGGCTGGCCCCGTGGCTGAGTGGTTAAGTTCACGCGCTCCACTTCAGCAGCCCAGGGTTTCACCAGTTCGGATCCTGGGCGCAGACATGGCACCGCTCATCAGGCCACATTGAGGTGGCGTCCCATGTGGCACAACTAGAAGGACCCACAACTAAAATGTACAACTATATATTAGTGGGATTTGGAGAGAAAAAGCAGAAAAAAAAAAAGAAGATTGGCAACAGTTGTTAGCTCAGGTGCCAATCTTTTAAAAAAAAAAAAAGAATGATTAATCCATTTATATTTATTACTGATTAGGTAGGATTTACATTTGCCGTTTTGGTTTTTTTTTTTTCTGTATATGTTATGTCTTTTTTTCCCTGTATTCCTCCATTAGTTCCTTCTTTTGTGTTAAATAGGTATTTTTCTAGTTTACCATTTTAATTCCCTTTTACTATATTTTAAAGGCATTTTTGTAGTGGTTACCCTGGGTATTACAATTAACATCTTCTAATAATCTAGATCAGATTAATATCAACTTAATTTTAATAGTATACAAAAACTTTGCACTATCAGATCTGTTACCTTTCCTTCCTTTGTGCTTTTATTTTCATACAATTTTTTTTTCTTTGAGGAAGATTAACCTTGAGCTAATATCTGCTGCCAATCCTCTTCTTTGTTGCTGAGGAAGACTAGCCTTGAGCTAACATCCATGCCCATCTTCCTCTGCTTTATATGTGGGACTCCTGCCGCAGCATGGCTTGATGTGCAGTGTGTAGATCAGCACCCAGGATCCGAATCGGCAAACCCTGGGCTGCTGAAGTGGAATGTGCGAACTTAACTGCTGCGCCACTGGGCTGGCCCTGACAAATTGTATTTTTATACATTATAATCCCATCAACATAGTTTTTTAACTGTTGCTTCTTATAGTTGTCTTTTAAATCATATAGGAGAAAAAAACTTGCAAGCAAAAAATACATTTATATTGTCTTTTATGTAGCTTAGTTGCAGTCACCTTTACTGGTCTCCTTATTTCTTACTGTAGATTTAAGTTACTGTCTAGTCTCCTTTCATTTCAGCCTGAAGGACTTCCTTTCGTATTTCTTGAAGGGCAGATCTGCTATCCATGAAGTCTTTCACAGTTTTTGTTTATTTAGGAATGTCTTAAGTTCTCCTTTGTTTATAAAGGATAGTTTTACTGGATGTAGAATTCTTGACTTGACAGTCTTTTTCTTTCAGCATTTTGAATATGTCATCCCACTGCCTTCTGTCCTCTGTGGTTTCTGATAAACTTATTGAGGACCATTTATATGATGCACAACTTCTCTTTCACTGCTTTCAGGCTTCTCTCTTTATCTTTGTCTTTCAATTGTTTGATTATGATGGGTTTCCGTGTGGTGGTCTTTGAGTTTATCCTAGTTCATTGAGCTTCTTGGATGTGCAGATTAGTGGTTTTCATCAAGTTTGGAGTATTTTTGGCCATTATTTCTTCAGTTGCTCCAACTGCTATCACTGCATCAGGCAGCTTCTGGGTTAAACAATTGCCACTGATTGTTTTGATGATCACCCCAGGGCAAAGGCTGTTGGAGGTGAGCAGGTGCTGAGTCAGGTCCTGCGAGTGGGAGTTTACAGGGAACACCAGATAGGTCAGATAATGACAATTCTTTGGAGATGAGGCTTTGGGGGAGCTTCATACTGTTCTGCTCCCTCCAGTGTTTGCGAGGTTGCTGGCTGGTTTTCATGGCTACCATCTTGTGAGGCTACTGCTGAGCTAGGGAGAGGGAGATCGGATTCAGCCATTTTTCTTGAATAAATGCTTCTTGGATTATTGTAAGCGTTTGGTTAATTTCCAGAGTTCTGAAAAAGTCGACTCTGATAATTTTTGCTAGTGTGTTCTTGTTGCTTTTATTGAAGAGTAGATATATGGAAGTCCTTACTCCACCATTCTGGAAGTGGCTCTCTTTCCCTGTGTATGTTTTAAATGGCTCAGTTTTTAGACCTTTAGCTTATTGTCAAGTTTTCAAGACATAAACATTATATTAAGAAAGGCAGTCATAGGGTGTTGTTCTCCCAGTATCCCTGTGAGCTGGAAGGGACACTGTGCAGAGCAGCAGGCTCATGATCAGGATGGGATACAGGGGTATGGTGTTGGGCTGTACAGATGGATGTTCTGATGTTATTTTGAGGTGCAGCTCTCGCACTCACTGGCTGTGTAACCTTGGGCAAATTCCTTCACTTCTCCGAGCTCAGAGTCTTCATTGGTAAAATGGGGATGTGGTAGACTGAATAATGCCCCCATTCCCCAAAATACATCCACATCCTATTCCCTGGGACCTGTGAATATGTCACTTTACATAGTGAAAAGAACTTCATAGGTGTGGTTAAGTTAAGGATCTCAAGATGGGGAGATAATCCTGGCTTATTCTGTGGGCCAAATATAATCTCAAGGGTTTCTGTAAGAGGGAGGCTGGAGGATCAGAGTCATTGACAACAGAAGCAAGAAGTTTAAGTGATCCTAGGAAGGGACCATAAGCCAAAGAATGCAGGTGGCCTTTAGTAGCTGGAAAAGGCAAGAAAATGGATTCTGTCCTAAAGCCTTCAGAAGGACATAGCCCTTCTGACACCTTGATTTTAGACTTCTAACTCCAGAACTGTAAGAGAATAAATTGTGTTGTTTTAAGTCACAAAGTTTGTGGCAGTTGGCTCCAGCAGCAATAGGGGATGATAGTGCCTGCATCTGAGCTATCAACAGATATTTGAGTGCCCACTAGATGCCAGAAACAATTCTAGGTGCTATGCGTACAATGGTGAAAAATGCCACTTTGCCCTCATTTAGCTTGCATTCTTTTCTTAAGTAGACAGAAAAGTAAACAAACATATTAATAATTTTATATAGTGGTAATTCTATGAAGAAAATTGAGTAAGTAGAGATCGGGGTTAATGGTGGAGAAATGAGTGTGAGTGGTTTCTTGGATAGAGTAGTCAGGAAATTCTCTCTGAAAAGGTTACATTTGAGTGGAGACCTAAATAACCAAAAGAAACCAACCAAAAGATGATTTGGAGAGAATGTTCCAGTCAGAGAGAACCGCAAAGGTAAAGGCCTTGTAGGGGGAGCAAGCATGGCATGCTTGAGAAAAAACCAGGCTCCAGCAGCTGGTTCAGAGTGAGCAAGGAAGGAAGTAGTGGCTGAGATCAGAGGGGTTGGTGGAGGCCAGCTCTCATAGGCTCTTGCCAACCAGGGAAAGGAGTTGAGTTTAATTCTAATCGCAGTGGGCAATAATTGAGAGATGTGACAGTATGGTAAGTTGATATGATATGTTTTAAACGTCGTTTTGACTAGAGACTTTACAGGGCAAAAGAGGAACCTGGAACACCAAAAAGTAGTTGTTACAGAGGTTCAGGCAAGAGATGCTGGTGGCTTAGACTGCAGTGCTGGTGGAGGAGTTATTGAGCAAGAGATTTAGGATATATTTAGGTAGAGCAAATATTTGAAGATGGTTGTAAAGATTATATGAGATAATACATGAGGAGGATACAGCACAGGGCCTGGTACCTGGGAAGTGCTCTCAGCAGAGTTGCTATATTATTGTTAATGTCATTGTCATCAACATCACTGCTGCTGTGGCTACCAGGGCTGCTTTCATCTTTTGTACAGGAAAGACATACCTAAGCCACATCAGTGTTCTTTACATTAGTGGTTACAAAGGGAGCTTAGAGTTACACTGTTACTGGAGTTGACTACATTATTTAATATATATTTTTAAAATTTTTGATTATTTTGAATCTCCAGTCACATCTGCTCAAACCACTGATTTTCGTTTGGTTTTCATTTGAGATTAACTCACAGGAACAGGAGAAGACTGTATCTACTTAGTACCTCTTATATTTCAAGCATTTTACTGGGCAAATAAACATTTTTACTGTACAAGATGTCGTTACTCCAAGTTTACAGATGAGGCCTAGTTAAAAACATCTCTAGGGTGTAGTACTGTAATGCAATTCTGACACTAACCATCCAGATTCACACAGACCCCAGAAATTAAGAGCATGGTCCCCAGCAAGTCTGCCCTCACTTCAGATGCCAGCCACAGATTTGGAGGTCCCCATGCCACCCGCACATCTGACCAACTGGGTCTAAATTCAGGGGTTCCTACAACTCCTTCGGGTTCAGTAAATCACTAGAATGACTTGGAACTCAGGAAAGTGTTGTATTCGTTATTAAAGTTTTATTATAAAGGGTATGAATCAGGACGTGCCAAATGAAGAGACACATAGGGCAAGGTCTGGGAGGGTCCTGAACTTAGAGCTTCCATGCCCTGTCCCCAGGGAATCAGGGCACATCACCCTCCTGGCACATTAATGTGTTCACTAGCCAGAAAGCCCACCAAACTTCATTGTCCAGGGGTTTTATTGGGGTTTCATTATGTAGGCATGATTGATTGAATCGTTGGCTGCATGACTGAACTCAATATCCAGGCCTCCTTCCGTCCCTGTGGGAAGGAGAATATCATTCCCAGGAGGCCGGGAGTCCAGCTGTTATGAGGTGACTCAAAGCCCCAGCTCTCTAATTACATGGTTGGTCTTTCTGGCCTGCCTTCATCCTGAGTCATCTCATTAGCATAAACTATCTAGGGGCCCATCGTGTCACCTCATTGGGATAAACTGTCAGGGCCCCCATGAATGACAAAGACTCTGCTATCACTTGGGAAATTTCAGGGATTTAAAGGTGTCTCCCCAGGAACCGTGGACAAAGACCAGACAAATTATTATACAACACAGATCACACATCTAATGAGTGGTGGAGCCAGGATCAAATCTGATTCTGTCTGATTCCGAAGCCCCTGCTCTATCCACTACTCCTTTTTACTATTAAGGCTCTAGATAAGTGCTTTGCTTAATGTCACACAGCTAGTTACTAACAATAGGGCCTGGCCCCCAGTGCTGACTACCAGTGTGTGCTCCTTTCCACAGTGCAATTGTATTTTCTCACGCTGGGGCGGATTCGACCTCTCTGTAAATTTTGCAGCTGGAATGGCAGGCACAGTTAGTAAAAACATTGGAGTATTTGCTTTCATTTGTATTTCTACAACTGCAGAATATTGCTTTCCTAGCTAAGCTGTATCAGTTGTCAGCATTTGTCCTCAGTTATATGGTATTCACATTTAAAAATCAAGTGAAAAAATTCAATCATTGCTTCCACTTCCAGCATTTAAGAAGGTTATAAATTCTTTTTGATTTATTGTTTTCTTTTTAAAAGTAATAAATATCCATAGAAGAAAATCAATCCATTGTTATTTCTAGCTGGCATGGTGCTCTTTTTCTAATATTTGGCCCAATTTGTGTATTTCTCTCTGCTTCCAGGTAGCATCCACTGTATTTTTCATGCAACTGGGCACCACTACACTTGGAAGAAAGTTACCACAACAGTGCACAACATTATCGTGGGCAAGTTATGGATAGATCAGGTGAGCGAAGGTGCCCACAGTGTGTCTGAAGTTCAGAGGAACCCCTCCTAGGTCCACCTGTGCAGTATTTAGGGCATGTAAACTGGCCACAGACAGTTGTTACTGGTTCATCAGTTTCTTCTAAGGAATTTTTCTCAGCAGCCCCACCCCCAGCCTCCCTGAATTTCTATACCACAAATTATTACTTACAAATGATCGAGTTATAACATGCATTCAGTGACTACTAGGACTGTGTTAGGCACTGTGAAGGATGCAAAAAAATAATAAACATGGCTCCCATTCTTCATCCCTTCATTATTCATCAAATAGTTATTGCCAGGCAGAGTGCTAGGTCCTGGGGATACAAAGTCAGATGAGATGTTGTCCTTCAAAGAGTTATTTTATAGTTGGAGATATATGACAAACATGCATAAGTTGAAAAATATTTAAGAAAATTTACCAGTGTAAGAGATGTACCAAGATAATATCTACTTAATTGTCAATTTGCTCTTAAGACAGTGGTTGTAGTAAATTCAGAATGCTGTCTGAACAGCAGGGAGAGGCTGTAGATGTGGGAATTAAGCTGGTTTGGGATTCGGGAGATAGAAAAGAGGAGAAAATGAAATTAATAAAGTGTAGAAAGGCCCACTGGATGTAACCTTGAAATTTTGAGAACACAGAGTTAAGCACAGAGTTCATGAAGGGCACGAGTAGGGGATTGGTTTGGAAAGGTGAATTATAATATGAATATCAATAAGTGTGCTGCAGGTTGATTCATGCCACCTAACACGTGACACATAATTCAAAAAAACAGTCATTTGGTCTTGATCCCACCCTGGAATACCACAGTTACAAAGGGAGTCCACAGCATCTCCGGATTGGCTAAGACCTGAATCTTAAGCAAGGAAGTGCTAGAATTAAGATTGAAAAGCAAAGAATTATGAGGCATGGGTTTGGCATATATTCAAGTCATCCAGTCTTAAGAAAACTAATCCCTGATTCTTTTCATTGATAGTCTGGTGAAATTGACATTGTGAATCACAAGACAGGAGACAAGTGCAATCTTAAATTTGTTCCTTATAGCTACTTCTCTCGGGATGTAGCAAGAAAGGTAAGAGAAGTTGGATTTTAAATTGTTTTCATTCAGTGTGTATCCCTTAGAAAGGCTACTTCTTTGGGGCTGGTGTAGATAGAGAGAGAGATCTATATCTCCTAAACATGGCGATTCAAAATAGGAAAGGTAAAAGAGAAAGTGAACAATATGGCATTACGAAACCAAATTCTTTTCTTTTCTGGAAAAGACAACAAGTATGAAAGTAAAAGTCAGGAGCAATGAAAGATTAAAAATGGGAAACACACAGGAAGGACTAACAAAAGGATTATAGGAAGACGGCATGGGCAGTGTCACCCCTGTGAAGTTTGAGCAGGAGTTATGTGTTACCACCACAGTGGAATTGTGCCACGGATTTCGACAAAAGAGTGAAGAGTAGTTGGGGTTTAAATTTGTTCGTGGCTCTCTCTGATTTCTAGAGAGAAGAAAATACCTTAATTCTGAGTACCAGT